CATCTAATTATTCGAACATCCCATCTAATTAGTTCTCGTGCGTTTTCAAGATAAAAATCTGTTGAGCTTATGAGAGCTCGACTCAACGCAATCGTATCGCTTTTAATTCGCGATTTAATATGCGCGTCGCTTACCTCCGAACGCGCGACGCTACGTGTCATGGCGTTCGCGCTCGTCCGCCGCCGAGAGCCGGCAATTATTCGTCGCCATCCGTTCCAGGTGGTCGCGCTACCCCGTTCAATTACGCTTTCGTTTCGTCGCCACGTTCGCTCCACGATGAGCACTTGCGTTTCGGTAAATTCACGCGATGTCTATGCGAAAATTCGAAAAAAAGCGGAGCGCGCACGAGAGCAGTTGTGACGACTTGGCGCACCGCCGTTCGAGAGAATTGCAAATGGCCGGCCGGTTTCGATAGTATCGAACTCGATGTATCGATGCGACTCCACTCGATTGCACTACTTGCACTACTGGCGCGGAGCGATAGTCGATACGGTTGTCGGTCGCTGTTGGTGTTGTCGGCGGGTTAAGACAGGTTAGGGTCGCTCGATGAGCTGGCAACAGAGTAGATTTTTGTGTTTCCTCTGAAGAAACCCGTGATCGTCCTGAGCATCGTACGCGGCAGCCGTGCTTATGATCGGCCGATGGACCAGCAGCGAAGGAAAGTCGCCGCGTATTCGAGGTACGTGGCGCGCTTTTGAGGTTATGGCGGCCGGGTTGTCAAAGACGGCCGCCGCGCGATCGACGAGGAATTTGCCGCCTTTCTTTCACTGGAACGTAAAAATTCGCCTCTACGAATCATTCTGGAAACGCGGCAGGGATTTTCAAGCAAAATCCTGTGAAGTGCACCGCAATTTATTTATTTTAGGTTGAATATACGATTTTTGGAATTCTGCGCTGCACATTCACGGTGTGAATATTTCGATGTAGAAAATAATTGCAGCGTTTAAGTGTGTTAAAAATAAATTGTTCATGGAATTTTGTTTGGAATATCAGAAATTGAAAGGACCTGTTCTCTGAGGAAACTGAGGTATAATCGCGAATAAACGTTTTAATGGATGAAAATAACGCGATAAGCAATATCGTATAACTTTTAATTTTAGCAAAATTTTAAGCAATACTTGGTGGTAAAATCGAAGGAAGCAATCGAATGTATTCTGCTGTCGATCAAATTTATCTATTCTGCAAAATACTCCCAGATAACGAAATCAAAATTGGGACGTAAGACATTTTAAAGACAAATTTTTGCAAAAGACGTCTTATGTCTTGATTTTAAACTTCATATTATGAAATGTCATGTCATGTAAATTTTATTATATAAATATTTATATAAAAATATATGTATACTAATTATGTAATATATATATATATAAAATTAGTATATACATATATATACATATATCAAAATATGCATGCACGCACAATTAATTAACTGCATTCATGCAATTATATTGCATTATTATAGTTTTGATTCTTATATATATATTGCAGCTTCGCTGCAACTGCATCTGCAACCGCAACGTCCATCTATAGCCTCGTTAATTATTCTTCAATCGTTGATAGATATATAGGAAATTTCGATCTTCTTCTACAATTTATTTTATGCGTTACTTAGCATTCATCAGTGTCGTTTACAAAGTCTGAAAAATTTTCATTTATTACATAATAGTATGGCGCTTTGAAATTAGTAAAACTATAAGTATTGTAATAGCAGATTATGCGAATTAAAACAGAACATATGTATTATTAAAAAATAATAATTAAATCAAAACTCGTATTTATTACCGTATTATAATAAAATTTATTAGCATTAAAACATAAATATAATTTAGTACATAGTACTATAGATAGCTAGTTTAGTACATATACATTAGTTTATAGATTTAAAAAAGTGCGATAAAAGCTGCATGTAATAAAATTATTACTAATTTATTTTTTACAATCTTCTTTTCTACCAGAAATGTCTTGTAATTATTTTGATTAGTATACTATATATGTTAAATGTATTGTATTAATTAGTATATAATATAATATGTAAAAATAATACGTAATATCTAATATATATATATATATATATATATATATATATGCTAGATATTATTTAAAAAATTACTATTTCTTGCAAAAAGTGTATATATATATATATATATATATATATATACCTACATATACATACCTTAAAGCAATTTCTTTCTCTTTCCAGAGATAGGGTCAAATAAAAATATGTATCATAATATATACATTATTAGTCAAAAGTATTTTAGATAAAGCGGATTCATCTAACAAGAAATATTTTATATACTATTCAACATAATGTTCAAACATGCTTATGATTCAAACAATATCTGCTGTAACTACCTCAACGAGGCTAAGTTTTCTAGTGTTAATGACTTGTTTATACCAGTCCATCGACCATTTTGGAGTTCTCGTTCGATTGGGATCCGTGAAGTTGACATGTACTAATCCGAATCGTTCTCTATCAGAACAGAATTTTAATATATCTATATGTTCTTCTTCTTAAAGGGAGCTCATAAAAACGTATCAAATAATAACTCACGTATAACCCCTTTCCCATTCATAATTGTCTAACACACTCCAAACAGCGTATCCTTTCACTTTACACCCATCTTCCTGAATGGCGGTTAACATTTCTTTCATATAAGAATGTAAGTAGGATATTCTTAAACGATCGAAAGTACAACATCTGTCAGAGAAACCATTCTCCGTAATAAAGATAGTTGGGTGATCATATTCATTTGAAATTTTCGTAATAATCTGTCGAAATCCAGCGGGAACAACCTAAAATATTTTTTCCGTATATAGATGCAAATAATATTCGCGTTGGTAATTTACTTTCAGCTAAAAAATTATTTTAATTTTCTAATTCTATTGCCATTTAAGGAAGTCGATAACGATATAATCAATCCAATTCACAGTGAGTTAAATATTCGTTACTTCGTGAAACGTAATATCAAATATTACGTTTAGTAAATGTATATAATAGTCAATTACTAATTTCTCCATAATCGATCATAATTTCACCGGTTTTGCTTGATTCAGCCGAATTATCGGAATATGCATATTTTCTGAAACACTCGATTCTGATTTACAATTTATAGCATTGAGTACAAGTTATGAATAATTCACAAAATGAATTATTCATAATAATAAGTTAAACCATTTGTACAACTTAATTGTGCCTGATGTGTTATCAGGGTCAAATTAATGGATTCCTAGCACAAACAGAAGTTTCGAGCACGCGAAAATTGATATCTCGCGAGTTTGATACATGCAATTAATATGCATCTTCTGTGCTAGCTAACTAACTCTGAGCCAATCCGAAGCGCTTTTTGGCCATGATGGATCCACGGTCGCTTTCACGCCAGAATAATCGTACCACGCTTGTCCTTGTGTATGCGGTACTGTTTCCACAAGTCTCGAAGTATAATGATTTAATGCGAAAAAGTCCGATGTACCTCTTAAAAAACAAAAGAGATAATAAGACTCAAGAGATAATATGTTAGTTCGTAATTAATTAGTATTACGGTGTATAACGATATTCGTATTACGTATTTTTGCTGCAGATTTCTTACTTAATATACTGCACCCATTTTGGCGAAAATTCTGGTAAAATCGATCTCGGAAAACCATCCAATTTACTATTCTCAGCTATATGGTGTTTCATAACTGCTGGATAATCACCAGTCTTTGAAAAAATGGGATGGGCTACCCAGCCGCAAGTAAACTGGAACAATATATCTGCTGCTTCAGTATCAGAAGAATTTTTCGGCAACGCACCTGAACAAGATGAAACTATGCCGATTTGGCCTTTCTGCTGTTCACGAAATTCTGTGTCATAGATATGATAAATCTTAGCGTGCGCTTTCAGAATATTATGCATGCAGAGATATTTGCCAGGATAGCCTAATTTCTTTCCTAAAACAATATTCCATTTTAAAAGATATTCAAGAAATTTTGCTAAAGATATTGCGTACTGTTTCTCGCTAGATAACAAATAGGTGTGAAGAATAGATATAAATTACCTGGTGCTTTAATACCTTCTAAGTACCCATCATCGCAAACAACGATGGGTTCATTGATAGTCATGAAATATTTAACATTGGGGCCGAGTTCTTTGAAAACAACTCTGGCGTAATCAGATATCCAGTCAACCATCATTTCATTGGTCCATCCACCCATCTTTTCAAAGACGACCGGATGATCCCAATGATACAAAGTGACAAATGGTTCGATACCATTCGTCAATAATTCGTTAATAAGATTTTTGTAATAATTAAGTCCCTCTTGATTGATTACATTAGCGTAACCAGCCGGTAATATACGTGACCAACTGAGAGAAAACCGGTAAAAGTTAACCTAAAATATTATTTAATAAAATATTACACAAATTTATTTGTTCAATTTATTAATATATGTATATTAATTGGTCGGTACACACAAGTGCGCCCTAGACTCATACTGACCATCGATTTATAATACTACCAAAATATTATATTTTGATATCCGATATTTCGTATCATACGTCCTTAATAATATATTTTATTATTTTTGCAGGACATACCCCTATTTCTTTTAATAATTGTACGTCTTCTTTATATTTGTGATAGGAATCGCAAGCCATGTCACCATTGCTACCATCACGTATTAAATTTGGATGTTCATGCGTCCATTGATCCCAGACATTCTCGCCCTTACCTTTTTGAATTTAAATACACCATAATGAATTAATTATAAAATTGACAAAAACACTTGTATAATATTCCATAAACCTATATATTTCTTAAATGCTTCAACGATAAAATGACATTGAGCATTAAATAAACTTTACATACCGCCTTCATTCCAACCTCCTTCTATTTGATAAGCAGACGAAGCCGTACCAAACAGGAAATCTTTAGGAAAAGATAATGTATCGTCAGCATAGATATGTGTAATAATAAAAATAAAGCTAAAAGTCACTCTGAGAAATGAACAGCTCGCCATTGCGAAGACGACTGAGCGTTACTAACGACGACAGTTGAGTATTATCAGTCATATACACACTGACCTCTCCTTATATTTCTTCTAAAGATAACAACTCTCAATATTTGCTCCACCTTCATCGTATAATTTCACATTTATATATACAAACATGTACATGATATTGTTTTCGATTAACATATTTGTGCAATACGTAATTTAATCAAGTTTTTTTCTTATTAATTAATATTTAAGTGATTTAAAAATAATATTTTTTTTTTAATAATTAAAATTTAAGTAATTTAAAAAATTATTTTTATTTTAATTTGAAGAAAATTACTAAAGTAACAATAATATATTAAATATTTGTAGCCAAATACTATACAGATGATATTTAAACGTGAAATAGTGACTATACGAAATTGCCTTACATAACAATCTCTCTCTCTCTCTCTCTCTCTCTCTCTCTCTCTCTCTCTCTCTCGCTCTCTCTCTCTTTGTCACGTCCATTAGCTACTAAAATTACTTAATAACTGTGACCTTCGTGCGCGCATACACACACACACACACACACACACACTCACAGTTTAGCAATTTATGACTATTGCGAAGGCTTATTCGCATTCGTGCATATGTTTCGAATTAAATATATGTATGGATAGTAATTTTATTTAATGTAAACTATTCCGCTTTTTAAATTTCCTGAACAAGATTCTAATGTAACAATGGCATAGTGGAAATCTATATCTTCGATAATTTACGAGTATAATAGTTACAATGCCATTGCACAAAATTTTAATTTATAATATATAATAATAATAATTTACGTCAATATCGTCATTTTATATTTCATATCGTTATCGACTAAAACATTTAGTCTCATAAAATTAAGACATTTCGTCTCAATAAAAAATTTGTTCGTTATTTTCAATCGATTGCTCAATTTGAATTTTAATCAATTAATTTTAATTCCTTAAATATAAATGTTAATCACTTAAATAGATATTTACGTAGATTAACAGATTTCTACAATAATATTATTATCATTATATACATTATGTATCTGATAAACAAGTTTATTATCACATACATTATTACATACATTATGTATCTAATAAACAAGTGTGTCATTAAATCCGTACAAAGAGGGAGACAAAGTTCAAAACTTTATGCAGTAATAGTTAAATATATTTCCTATTACACGTGTTCCTATTATTGTTCGCGTATACGTACGATAAATTTCAATATTCATTTCACTTTGAAAATCACTTTTTCACTTTTTGTAAAAAAAAAGAACTCTCATACAAGACTCATGACTAACATGTTCAAATTGAAATCTTTGTTACGCGTTTCTTTCCAATATGCTGCGATTGCACAGTGAAGATCGGCAACTATGGATATATTCAACTAGAAAACATAAAATAGTAGCAACCGTTCAGAAAAAAAGACGATATAAAATCTCTCAAAATCTTGTTAGATACTTCTCGTTTAACGTAATTGGCTGAATTCTGTTAAACGGCTCTGTCGTACGAAGAGATAACCACATTTCCGCATATTGGACTCCTCCAACTGCGCGAAACCGGTGAAATCAAAAATATGATTCGCGTCTGTGGTTGGACATTCTTTTCTGTGTTACAGTTTGCCATCACTCGTGAATCTAGACATTCCAGACTTTCAGAAATTGTATACGAAATTGTTTGGATAAATATGTTAGTTATAGAAAACAGATTCAATATATTTGGCCTGTTCAGATAATATATATTGTATAATCACGGAAATGAAAAATAATTTTGTATGTAAGTTTTTAATATTGCACCTAAAGTGTAAACATAATTATTGACACAAGTTAAATAATTACAAGTAATAGCTGAGTATTCTCATTTATAAATGTTTAAAAAATATAGGTTTTACAGTAAAATAATTTTAATTGGTTATAATTGCATCGAAAAATTACGCTCAGTATTTCGAATGCTGTCAGTCAGTTGCGTTTACATGACTAGACTATTAAATTTATCAAAAGAATATTTACATTACATAAATGGAATCATTTTATCAAGCCGTAATTAGATAATATAAATTGCATTTTGATAGCATATCATAGCAATCATAACAAATCATATCAACATTTTAATCGCATTATTAAAACAGGATTAAAAGTCTCATATATTGTTTCGCATTATCTACAGCAAATATAAGGGCAAGTTAAGCGAGGAATCAAATTGTTATTCATACGCAAGTGTCATAATTTATAGAGAAAAATATGTGACGTACATATATGTACGTTATGTACACGTGATGGTCAAAGTGACAATATCCGTAAATATGTATAATAATATATCTAGTAAAATTTAAAATTAAATATAATTTATGAATACTGTATATGTAAGAAAAATTTCGCTATTAACATATACTTTATTCGTAACCGAATATAAGCAAATGCGTATGCGCCATTGTTAAATGAGAATTTGCAAAAAGAACAAAAGCATAACGCATCAAGAAGAACAATTCGTTCATTTATACAGTCAATTGTACTCCCACGATGAAATATCACGACTGCAGTCAAAGAGAAATACATAAAGTACCAGAACGTAACTCGTAATTCTATCACTTCACGGTTTACTTTGTCGCGAGAGACTGACACTCTCCAGAGAACTTAGAAACAAGTTACAATTCTTTGTCAGACAAGAACAAGACAGCGTTATAGTTTGCGCACGTTCTATCTCCCCTCCCCCCCCC